AAAGGATTTGGTGTATATCTAGTGAGGGATGCTCAGCTCCATGGAGACGAGGCTGGTTAGTTCACCCAGTCCCTCCCTTCTCTCCTTTGCTTATTCGTCCTCTGTCCTTTTCACCTTCATCTCTACCTTTCTTGCTCTTATCTTGCTCTTGTAGTTTTCCCCTTTTATTCTCTCTTCCAGTTTCTTAATCTTCCTCTATTCTCTCTTCCTCTACCCCTCCTCCTTCCTTCCTTTCCTGAATCTTCTCTGCCCTCTGTCTCAATGTGAGGCTGAAACAAGCTGTACGGCTCTTTCTCTCAGCACAAGTCCTGAAAATTGTGAGAAACTCAGCTGAAAAATTTAAGACGGATCAATAAAGGGGTTGGTTTGCTTCAAACAAACAAGCGTGTACATTTCTCAACTTATCTTTTCATTCCTCCATCACTGCTTGTGTAAACAAAGGAGTACAACACTGAATTCTTTCAAAGTGTCAAAAAGATTTCGCTGTCTGCAAAATTCATCACGTGCCCCCCCTACTACTAGGTTCAAGCATAAACCCAGTCATACAGGTCAAACAAATTAAAGGCCATGATTGTGTGTAAATGTCCACAAATGCTTGTCATATAAACATTTATGCTTAATTAATCAGATAACAGCGGACCACAACTTAGTGGGAAGATAACAAGAGATAATTGGTTAAAACAAGACCCAGTGCGACATTGTCTGCTTTCATCATCGTCCTGGTGCGCCCACACAAGCACAGACACACGTGCAGGCCTCTTGTGGTGTGACACGACCACTCACAGTCAAAGTTTGACTGCACATTGTGCATAAAACTGCATCAACATTAGCTCAAACATCTTTGAACGTAATGGAAAATTCTCCTCCACGTCCATTTTTATTTAAAGCAGTGCAGTACGCTTACATGCAGCCACATGATGAATGTGCATGTACTTAAAGAATCACGCACAAAAACGGACACCAACAGGCTCCACTTGGGCACTTTTCATTTGTTGACATTTACAGTAGATGCAGCTGAACTTTGTGAAGCGTCGCCATGGCATCAGTTTACCTCAGGCTAGCCCACAGCCTGCGGGGGGTGGGGGGTGGTGGTGGGTGGGTGGGGCATCAGTGTTGTTGCTCAAGTGCATGTGGGACATCATCTTTCATCAGTGCTGGCCACACTCCCCCCATCCTTAATGTGTCTAAACCAATCTGGGATGTGAATGAATACCCCGCATGCCTCTGACATCATGGAGTTTCCACTGCTGCTCTTGGCTCACCTCAAAGATAGCAGCTTTGATATTTTACACCGCTGGCTCACTGGCAGGGGTTCCCCACCCATCACCCCTCCTGACCATAGATGGACTCTAGAGAGTCACTGTGTTTGTGGAGGGAGGTCATCTGATAACTCAAAGGTCAAATCTCAAACGGTTCATGTTGTGTAAGAGTAAAGGAGCTTCACTCGAAACTACTGACTTACTATAAAATAATTTGCTATGGCTTTTAGGTCTGCTGTGGTTTTACAAAGGGGACTGCTTTTATTTTGATGGTTTGATGATTTTTATCCTTATTTAATTGGTTGTACTGAATTATATAAAAGAACCTTAATTCTTAGCCGACATGTTTGCTGTTGTCCAAATTACAATGTGGTGGCATTATTTTGGATGCATTTTTGAGCAAAGTATAAATGGAAATCAAGATACTCTGATGGAGCAGCACCGTCTTGAAGAAGAAAAGCTTTTGCAAACATTTTATGTAATCAAGAAATATAGTTTTGGGGTTATATCAACTAGTGCACTCTCAATATCCCATACAGTTGTGTTATGAATGAGGTGAGCACCCATGGTAGGCAGTGAGCTTGTGTTATTCTTTATAGAAAATCAAAGACATAAAACTGGGTTTTTCTCTTAGGGGTTCTGCTATTTGCAAAATCGTCTTTTCTGTTGTAATCCTGAATGGCATGAGTTTTGCAGATTGCATTAAGAACTATCCCAACCTTCCAGTGTGGTGGAGAAATTTTGACATTCAGGAAAATGCTGTTGTGTGGTCCTTTTCCTAATGTTCGGTGAGCCGGCCATTTCTGAGCAGCAGAGGAATGCTGCGTTATTCCAGTGGATTACCTCAGAGGATTCCTCCCCTGTGGTGTGTCTCCACAGCGATGGGAGTCACATGTTAAGCTATTTTTTTTCATTGAATATCAAAGGCTTTGTCAGGTCAGACATGCATCAGACATCTGATACCATTGTTGGACAGAGCATCTCAGACTCTGCCGGAAGGAACCACCTCCATGTTAGGACATCATTCCTCTCTGACCCAGCAGCTAGTGCGCTTCTTCTCCAGTTTTAAAAATTCTTGTTTGTGCAGAATTTCCTGTATAAATAGACACAGAGAGCCAAACACGACCAACAAACAGTTTACACACGCCGCAAACAGATGATGGATGTTCACCACAGTTTGTTTGCAATTTGTTATGAGTGGTATGACACTTTTTTAAGACCAGGACTCAAATTTTCCATCACACACATGCATACACTCACAGAGCCGGCAGAACGAGGTGATATGACACCTCTAACTTTAGTCTGCCGCTCTGGATAATCCAGTTAGGATGCGCTCTCTGGCTATCAGGAGGTTTTAGCTTCCTCACTTCCAGCTGGAGGCAAAACAGAGTCCAGGCTCCAGTCTGGCCTGGCCTGGTATCCTCAGTAAACCTTTGTCACATAAACGCACAGTACATACACTCCGGGATCTACCCACACATAAACAGACTGATACGTGTTCAGTTCAGTTAGAGCTCCTCTTTGTGTGTGTGTGTGTGTGTGTGTGTGTGTGTGTGTGTGTGTGTGTGTGTGTGTGTGAGAGAGTGTGCGTGCACGTATAAAGGTCATAGGTTGCGGGGGGCACCAGCTGATGTCACAGACCCAAAATGAGAGGAGTGCCCTTGATGACAGCCTGGCAACTATAATTGTCGTGACAACCCCTAGGAATGAGCCGTCATGTGACACCCTTTCCTCAGAGTCGAGTGCATGGAAAAAGAAAACACACACTCACACACATAGCTGTGTCAGCGGGGAGAACCCTTTGGAAACAATGTCTGGCGTGCTTGGGGATCTGAGAGGGGAGTGCAGGGGTGATTTTAACCCACTCCACAGAGCACCAAATGTGGGCATATAACGAGGCCACAGACCCTCATTTTGACCTTAAACTGAACGGTGGTTGCAAAATGATTTGTCTTTGTTTCCATAAAGGATGATTTTTTATTTTTTTTAAATGATGTTTCTGACCTATTTTTTGAGTGGAAGGAATTTTCCTGTAACTCATATCTTGTTTGTCAGGTTGCCTTTCCTCCATATTTTCCAAAGCCGTTGCTTGCTTTTGGCACACGCCGAGTAAGATTAAAGTCATCTAAAATAACCTGTTGAGCCTGTGTAATTCAACTCTGACACATTCTCTCATATTCCAGTCATCCATAAAGAAAGTGTTCAACTATCTGAGAGTGACAAGAAGGACTGACATATTTCCTCTCTTGTTTTGAAGCCAACGTCTCAACAGGAGAGCCATCAGGGGACGGTACGGCTGAAGCCCTCTGATGTCTAAAACACACACACACACACACACACACACACACAGTTTTGCATGCATTTGCAATAGGCACGGGGCTCTCTTGCTGTAGAATGTTTTTATGTATCTGCAGCTGCCCCCCCCCCCCTTCACTTTAATTCTGTTTTCATCAGTTTTTATCTCACATCTGCTGCCTCTCAGTTGTCCACGTATGTCTGTATGTGTCAGTTAATGCCTGCTATGATTGTACAACATGAGATTTCTACAGCGACACACACACACACACACACACACACACACATTCATCTAAAGAGGTTACAAATGTGTTATTGAGCGTGTGAGGCTGCTAACTGAATCAGTCTCACACACACACGCACACACACGCACACACATGCACACATACATGGAGCTTTTGGAGGCTGGTAATTAGAAGGTGCAGTAAGGTGATAACAAGCGCCAGCCACACGTTTGCAACAGAGGTGTCAATGCCAACGTGCTGCCGGAAATCACAGCCCCACCTATCACACTTTCTCCCCCCTTTTTACCAGGCGGTTACCCATAAACACTGATATACATACAGACACACACACTTGTAAGTGTAAGATAATATGACCATTTTGTAGGCTAACACACAAGAATCTTTACTAAAACAAATATGTGCATCAAGTAAGTTTGTATGCCTCCCTCCCAGGCTTCCTCCCACTCCTATCTCTTTCCCTCTTTTCTTTTGCCTGTCTTCTCCACCCACTCCTCCTCCTCCATCTACACGATCTATGAGTCATCTGATCCAAAAGGTGAGATGCTGCGTTCAGTAGATTATTTTCATCTTGTCTTGCTACATGAGAGGTTATCTTCACTTTCCTTTAGTCTCCTTTTTTTTTTTTTATTCCACTCCTCGGCTTTCATCTGTCTGTCACCTAGAGACGAGCTACAAGTTGAAACCTTGTTCCTTGTGACAAACCCCCCCACCCACCCCACCCACTCCACCCCACCCCACCCCACTCCACCCCCAACCCGCCAAACACATTCTTCTATGTGCGCCCCATATGGTCCTCTAGAGTGGGAGGTTTCCATCTCTGCTTGTGCTGCTCACGATTGAACCACAGACTGATCAAATAGAGACTGTGCGAGTGTATGTCTTTGTGTTTGTGTTTGTGTGTGTGTGTGTGTGTGTGTGTGTGTGTGTTTGTGTGTGTGTGCATGTCTCAGTCTCATCACTGACAGGGGGTGGTCCCAGCCGCAACAGTCTTTGTTGTCATGATAGCAGTTAGCTGTTTAATCATATGCTGTTGCTGTCATGATCACACCATCGTTTACTCATTCTGAAAAACACTTTGTGGATTTGAGTCATCAGAGACATATTCTTCTTCCTCTCCTGTTTCCTCATTCCCTCCCCTTGTCTGCGCTTTCCTCTCCCATCATGCCTCGGGGTCACCGTTCTCTCCTTCTCCTTCCCTCAGGTTGTGGAAACAGCAGCATGAGCGGCGACATGTACAGTGCCGGCTACCACTCCATCACCAACATAGATTACTCCTCAGTGTGCATCAGTACAATGACCGCCAGGTACAGTGACTGCCCGGGTATGACCTGGCATCAGATGGACGTGCGCCAGCTCTGCTTCCCCGCCGCATCCTTTGATGTCATCCTCGAGAAGGCCACGCTGGACGCCATCATGGTGGAAGAGAAGTCACCTTGGGATGTGTCCCCTCAGACCGCCTGTTTCGTTCACCAAGCACTCACAGAGGTATCGTTAAAAGTCTGTGTATCCTCACTGGGGTATTTTGTAGATTGAGAGTCTGGTATTTACTGGGAATTCTCACCAACATCAATTCCATTTTTCATGATAAATACCAGCGGGAACCTGGGATTTTTTAGCATAAACCCTCTTGTGTCTCTGTGTGTTTGTGTAATGAAAACGCTATAAATCTTCCTCCAAACCTCTCATAGCTAAACACTCAAGTCCAACCTTCAAATACCATTATAACCTACCTTGTTTTTTGTTTTTGGAAGTATAGTAAACTTTGTATAGTAGTAGTATAGTAAGTATAGTAAACTATGTAGGCTGTTCGGCAAGTTGCATAATCAGACATAATCAGGGGCATTCACATGTGCATAAGGTACAGTAGGCTGAACGCTCTAACTAAACATCTAACGGCAATGATCCTGTGCCTTCAACCACGGAAACAAAATGAAATGGCTGTATGCAACAGATTTTTCTTCCTTGGCACTCCACACACTACTAACCTCAGATTACCACCTTAAAGATCAAGACCAAGCCCTCCTGTACGATCAGTGTTACGTATTGTGTTTTTTCTAATATGAAAAACATGACAAATCCAAAATAATAAATTACAAGAATGAGAAATATCCATGTATTATAAGATAATTATATGCAGTTCTTTATTAATGGTTAGAAAAGAAATGTACTGTATTGCTGGGAAGTAATTACAGGAAAACATTCAGCCCTAATCCTCACCTACTGTAGAAGTCGTATTATGGTCTTCATTGGTGTGAAAGTTGTACTGCGAATATGTCACACAAGCCTAAGATGGCGGCATGACAGCTCCCCAAAAGCGAAGTCAAACATCTCGATCACGATTTGATATGCAGCTGTGTTTTCTATGAGAGGAGCACATGTTTTAAACGCCAATATCACCGCTGATCATGTTCATTTAATTGTGGGAAGCCAAAATGGTGATCGACTGTGTAGCCCTAATGCAGACCACAAAAATCTCGACACACCTACGAATCTTTGAATGCTCTGCTGCAACAGGAGTTTATCTGTAAATGACTTCTCCATGACAGTGAAGTCGATAATAGCGGCACTTTACATTTCCACTTCATCTCCGTGGCCCATCAGTTGACTTACACGACGTCGAGTGCCCTTCAGCTGCTGGCTGCGGCTCTAACCACCGCTGTGTCAATGTGACAATGATGATGTTTTGGCCATTAGCCATGCTTGACCTTGACACACTAAGACAAGAGAACGCCGCAAACGCAGGTGACTCCCGAGCTCTGAATGGGGAAGAATTACTCATGATGTACTCACTGCCGCGTTCAGTGCACTGCTAAATGAAATGTAATTCAAAGTTTAGCAATAGTGGAAAAGGTCAGATTGTGTGAATCATTTTAATGGAAACAGCAAGAGCCCACTTAGTACAACTAACAGTAATGCAAATGTACACAGAAAAATCCCTGGACATTTTCTTTTACCAGAAATTGTAAAATTACACACAAAATAAAAAATCATGATGGAATATTGAGGTTGCCATCACCAGGCTACCAGTGTAGTGTTTTGCTGATTTGGCATTAAGTAATATGGGTGGGGTGGGGGGGGTTTGGCCTGGTGGCTTTCGACAAGTTGAAAATGATACAGCATTGTATCAGACACTTTGTCATCACATCCTATTATGTGATTGCTTTCACTGCAGCCAAGAAGGGTTCTTCCTTCTTCGCTATTTGTTTTATTTTCACCGTGCAGGTTTTCAAGCCGTCAATATTTCCTGAATGAGCCCATTAATAAAAAGGCTGGACGTTCAAGAAGCTTGCAATGTTTGTGCTCTGTAGTTGTAGTTGCAGCCTGAATTTGAATTCGTTTGAACTTTTTTTTTGGAAAAAGTGCCATCCTCAATTGAAACAGCTCTGTGCAGTCACTGGGTAATAAAGATCTCCCTTTGAAATAAAGGGATTTGCATGATGCATTGCATGCATTTACTGTTTCCCTGAGAGAAGATGATGCCTTAAAAATGTGATCAGACCAAAGTATTTAAAGGATCTTTTCATCTCCCCCTCAAATCAGCTCAGGTTTTAATGCTACAAGCTTAACCAGGGACAAACCTGACTCAGGACGTAAACAAAGGCTATATACTCGGCTGTATATGTGCCAGGTTTTTAAAGTCAGCGTCTAACAATAGACACACGAACAAACACACACACGCATACACAAAAAGTAGATAGTGTCCTGGGTGTTTTCCTCTAACAGAAGGAGGTATTAAAAAAGGATCAGTGAGTGTGTTTGGGGGACAGATGGGAGGATTTGACTTCCCTTCAAAAGAAGTGAAGCTGGACTCACGAAGCAGTCCTGTTCGAAAGCCATTACAGTAAGAGGGAGTCGAGTTCCTTCTCGCTCTGCATCACCTGCTTCCCTTCACACCATCTCTTCTTCTCACTTCTGCCTCTCACTCCGTTTTCCCCTCATTTCCACTTTCGTTTCTCTCACCTGCTCTGTGCTCAGGGCTGTGTGGAGACGGTAATGTGCAATTGTGTGTATTGTCTTTTGTGTTGCATCTTTATGTGTGCAGATACCATCGTGTGTGTGTGTGTGTGTGTGTGTGTATGTGTGTATAATCACCAAGAAGTCGATAGTCCTCTGCGCTGCTGTATTTTTGCTCTCTCTCTCTCTCTCTCTCTCTCTCTCTGTGGCCTGTATGGGCACAGCAGTCACGATTCCTGTTAATGTGTGTATGTATGTGTGTGTTTTGCAGGAATGTGGGAGGTGGGTACTTTCATTCCTTACAAGAAAACATTCTCACAACATGAAAAAAGGGGGACAGACGGGGAGAGATAAGGGGGAGAGAGAGAAAGAGAGAGGGAGAAAGAAAGGCGAGAAGGAAAGAGAGAAAGTGAGAACGGCTCTGAAGAAGCAGGAAAATGGCCTGAGTGAAGGAGAGGGTGATGAGAGGGGAGGAGATCCCTGAAGAATGTTTTGTTAAATTCACACACAATGAAGGAGGGATTGAAGGAAAACTGCATGGCAGCACAGGAGAAAGGAAAAAAGCGGGGGTGGGGGGTGGGGGGGCAGAAACCAAGACTGACAGAAAGCTAATGAGCAGTGCGCCAGTGTGAGACCGATGGAAAGAAGGTAGAAGAGGAGAGGAGAGGAGGGGAGGGGAGGGGGAAAAAAAAGTGGAGCGCACTTTGATCTAAAATCTGCTTTGAGAGTGTTTCCTAACAAAAGCAAACATTGTTGAGGGGAAAAAAAAAACTTCACCAGTCGATTTTGATTTCACGTTAGCATGAAATAGAAAAAAAAACATACAAAAACATGTTGAGGTGTTAAAATAATAAGATACAAAGGCAGAAACCTGCACAGAACAAACAGATCAAATGCAGCAAAACTCACAGCTAAGAAAACATCCTCACACAGTCATCGCCAGCTTGTACCAAAGACACACATACTGTATATAGAACCGTGGTACAATACAAACAAATACAGTTTTATTTTAGTTGCTAACATCCACTCATTCTCGCGCGCGCACACACACACACACACACAAACAAAATCTCACAGTCGAGGCCGCGGTGCACTGAGGTGTGAAATTTATTTCACAGCCTGACATGCTCTGTGAATCACTCTTACTGTTGCTATGGCGACTCCTTCATTGGATATCATCTCAGACTAACACTTTTAATTGCTAACCTTTAGTCCTGTTTAAAGAGGTAAAGAGTAGTCGCTCAAAGAGGTAAGGGCTATGGTTTTCGGTTGTCTCAAAATGCTGAAGGTTATTTTTCAGCCCTTTTTTTGAAAGAAGCAAATATGAATCTGGTTTAAGGTGCGTGGAAATTTTCTCTCTTCCCTTTCTCCACTGGGCAGTTAAAGTGCAGAGTCAGCTGAAGAACAGTGTCTCTGGAGGAGTTGTTTTTTTTTTCTGAAGTGGAGATTGTTGATAATGCAGGCTGTGTAATTTTAGCCTAGTTTACAAGTTTGGTAATTCTGCACAGTGTCGGTGTATTAGTAAGAGGGTCTGAATTAAAGCCAAGTCGTTCTTCTGTGCAACAAGAAAAACTTTGCCTGAAGAGTTTCAAAACTTGTGGAAGTAGGTGTCTGCTGCAGACCTTTTGTTTCCATAGTTTATTTCTGAAATCTAAACTTTGCTCGAATGTTGAAAAGGTTTTTAATAAGGCCGGAGGAGTAATCAGAGGTTTTACTGAACTTTAACACCTTCTGACCGTCTGTGGTGACTTGCCCTGACGGATCGATTCAGACTCTTCGTTGTCTCGAAAATCATTTTTCATGACCAATTTACAGTGGTAATCATTGGTAAGTCATGCATTTTGCTCTCTGTTTGAAAGATGCAACTTTCAGCGTAACAAAACAGCAAGATGCTTCAGCTTGTGCTGCTGTTAAAGCAAAACTATGTAACATTTGCAGAAAAGTGTCCACTGTGGCCACTCGTTACACTGTCCTGTACAATCTCCTGGCAGACATTTTGAGTTGTCAAAGCAGGAAAAGCACATGTACAACATTATATGATGATGTGTATGTGTTGTGAGTGACACCTGTGTTTGACAAGTCAGACTCGCAGTGAGAAACATCAGTCACATATTTTCAAAATGGCAAAACTCTGACAGATTCAAAGATTTAGGACCAAAATCCCACAATGTGGCTGCTGCTACGACCGAGAATATGACCTGAAATGATGCAGATGCAACGCTTGTTTTTATTTTCTGAACAACAGAATGTCATATAGTAGATGGATGATGACACAGATTGTGACCAAAACTTTATTAGGCCCGTTTCACACAGTGTGGCATACAGCAAGCTTGTAAGATTGTCGCCACTGCGCGGTCTGTAGGCGCCTTTAGTTAATCTGAAGCGCTTCAAGGCCCTAATGGAGGTCTGGAGCATCATGTCAAAGACAAGGTATACCCCCTACCTTCTGTACCGATCACCCCCTTTCTGCTCCCTTTCTCTCCTACTGTATGTAGCTAAGACCCTGCTCCTGTCTTTGCTCTTGGTAATAC